TCATTTAGTGAATTTAGGTTCAGGCAACAGGTGAAAAATTAAAGCTGTGGGGCAGTGCTTTCCATCCTGTGTGCCTGGTGGTCACAGAATCTAAAAATATTGCCTCCTCATTCTGCAGGTCAGCCAGGAGGGCACCATCACCTCACCCCTGGATATAAGCAACCCTGTCTATGAACTCCAGAGTGCCAAGCAGATGTTCCTACGTGTGCTGTGTAAGGCAGAGTGGGATAGGAATAGCCTTAATCACTTGCTGGTAGCTATGCTTTATGGTTACCATACACGTTAGGGTAAGATAGGTGTGATGTGTTGGTCAGATTTTTCAAGGACTCAGGACAAGAGACTATGGAGAAGGAAGTAGGGCAGATTTTAGAGCTGAATAGAAACTCTGAAGTCTAGGAAAAGGATCTCTAAAGCCAGGAAGGCAATACCATTGTTTTTATCCATAGGACATGGTAGAGGTCAGGACTAGAAGCTTAGAAATGTCATCTTCCCAGTGAGGTCTTTCCTGCCACCTCCCTAAAAACTCAAATCCTCCCCTCCACATGCATGTTTCAGGTCCTTTCTTCCTGCTTTATATTTTTCCTACCAACTCCCACTATCTAACACACTAGATACTTTCCTAGTTATCTTGTTTAATACCTGTCTCGGCTAGATGGTAAGCTCCATGCAGGACCTTCTCTGCCATAACTCCCTGCTATGTCTGTCCCTGGAGCAGCTTTAGGCCACAGCAAATACCTGCGGACTGAATGCACATACCCAGAGAGGTCTGTAAGGAGCACAGCTGGAGGGAGCAGGAAGTATAGGAGCCTTAGCAGCAGCCTTAGACCGCCAGGCAAAGAGCAACCTGTCAGTCATGCGCCAGGCAAACAAGCTGTGTCCAGACTTGTAAGAAGTCAGAAGAAGACAATGCTCTGTAACCTCATCTGCTTTCCAACATTCAAGTTTTGCTTTCCTTTTGTTCATTGTGGGGGAATGTCTCCTCAGACATGGTCAAAAATTATATTAGCTATCTTTGGGAAGCAGCATACCATGCAAGACCATTTCTAATTTCATCTTTGCTACTACCCAAATGTTGCTTTAAGCTTTACTGTGCCCCGATTTCTTTGACCTACTGAACATTCTTCTTTCCACTGGTAGTTTGCCTTTTGATTTTTGTCACTATACTTTCTACTTTCCTGTGACTCTGGTTTCTGTGTAGTATTTTGTGACTCTATCAGTGTCACAGAAAACATAGGAAAACATGAATAACTAAGTTATTTGTTGTTTAAAAATAAAATTAGATAAGGAAATGAAAGGGAGAATATTTTTAGAAATGCCTTTTCACTCCTATAGGATTAAAATGATCAATAATACTCCTAAAATAAATTATAGTCTTAAGTTCTAAAATGACCAATGAAAATATATCGCATTACATTACTTTTTACAGCTCCTTCCTTCTGATGAACGCAAATACCCCTCTAGACACTTAAAAAATTATCTTCATAACATTTCTATAAATGAGCAGATATTTGCTGTTGCCATTTTATAACAAATGTACAAACAATCAGTGTGGGCTGTACTCTAAACCAGATCCTATTAACCTATTATATAATTGTCTGAGTAACAGTGTTTTTAGCTGGCTGATGTTACTAGTAAGAAACGCTATTAATAGGGAAAAATGGGGCACTAGACACATACTCAAGATTCATCAAAATTCCAACACTCACTATATATTATGACAACTGAAAAGTCAGACTTCATTTTAAGTAGAAGGTGCAACATTGCCCACTCTTAAGCATGGCATTGTCAAGTATTACATTTGCTTTCAAAAGAAAATAAAGAACAATATTACTATAGTGAAATAATTATCAGTGACATTTTAAGTATAATTTAAAAATTGTATTGTATCTATTCTTAAAATATACATTCATAGGCAACAACATTCATAAAATTAAACTATTATGATCAGTAGATCTATTTTTGTGTAAAGGATTAAATTTGGTAATTACTACATATGTAGTAATAATAGAAAAAATACATTATTAAATTAACATGAATTTTTATAGGTAATTTTATTGCTATGACTATGATACTTCTAGTCAAAAGATAAAAAGCATATTACAACAACATCAAAAATTGACTTCGCTAAATTGAACATATAGTCTGAATACCCATTACTAACTAGTGGTCAGTACACATGTTGAAATCTTCAAATAATACTAACATTTTAAATTATAGATATCAGGATTATTGATCAGAGAATTTCAGGTGATTCAAACGTATTTCAACAACCTTTGGTTATTTCCATTTGAATTTCCTGCCATCACCAGAATTGCTATCACCTCAATTAAATAGGTCATAAAACAATTTCATCATTTTTTTCTTCTTAATTGGATACCCTTTCCTTTCCCCCTATTCTAGCAATGATATTTTCATTATTCCAGTAACATTTCACTGGAACTTACCATTGTTTCTTCCTTTTCTATTAGCCTCCACAATCTATCTATTTATCATCAAGGAGTGTTGAGTCCTATTTGTTGGAGTTCTCCCACCTTTTCCGTTCCCACTGCCACCTCTCCGGTACATGCCATCAACCTCATAGACCTGCTCTATCACCACGGCCTGCTGAGTCTACTGTTTTCTGGCTTCTCATTTCTCTCTTCTATTCTTGTTTAAAATCCCATTTTGATCACGTTACACCCCTGTTAACATTTTTGTATGGATTCCTTAAGGGAAATCACTGATTTTGACTGAAAGCTGTTCAGTTTTTGTAAGTCAGTGTGGAAAATATAGGGCGCTGGCACTATTTCTTTTCTCAATTGATGCAACCTAATGCTGATACCAACTTCACAAGAAAGAACATACCCATTTGCAGAGGACCAGGAAACAGTTCTTTAAAAAATGTGTTGTTGTTTTTTTTTGAAAAATATGACAAGCTATTGTTGGTTGCTATGTCTCTAGTACCTGGAATGTAATAAACGATCAACAAATATTTGAAATAGGCAGGGGAATGTATATGGAATCTCATCATGTAAGCCAAATGTGTTGTAATAAAATCCCACAGAGAATAGAAGGTTACAGAGAGTAAGTTCTGCCCTAAGAAAAATTTGGTCAGAGAAGAGCTGAATAGTGAGGTGACTTCATGTAAGATCAAATGAGTGTGATAAGAAACTTAACATCTTTTCTCTAATATACTGAACAGCCAAGTCTAATGAGGCAGTAGGGGAACAGGTAGAGGAATGAATTGCCTTCAATAAATTTTTTAATGCCTTTTTAGATCTTAACCCTAAGGTATCAGAACAAAGATGAGCTTTATAAGGCTTTAGTCTCAAAAAAGTTAAGGTTGCTTTTACTTAAGCTTAAGACCAAGAGAGTTGAAGTTTAAACCTATTTCATTAATAATTATCTACTACTGTGGAACCAATCACCCCAAAATTTGGAAGCTTAAAACAAGACACATCACCCACAGTTTCTGAGCATGGCTTAGCTGGGTAATTGGTACCGGGTCTCTCATAGGCCACAGTCAAGGTGTTTGCTGGGGCTGCAGGCATCACAAAGCTCAACTGGGACAGGATCCTCTTCCAAGGTCACTCATGTGGCTGTTGGCAGGCCTCAGATTCTCACTGGCTCTTGGCCAGAGACACCAATTTCTTGCCACATGGACCTCTCCACAGAGCGGCTCACAACATGACAGCTGGCTTCCATCAGAAAGAGCAAGTGCCAGGACAAAAAAGAGCCTTAGTCCTGCCAACATTCACTGGTCTTACCATGTTCCCCATGACCCTTACGCAGCAGGCTTGATAGAATGGCGAAATGATTTTTTTGAAGACTCAGTTACAGTGTCTTCTAGGATGAGACAATGACCTCTAGGAAGTGATATTTTTCTCTAAATCAGCATTTAATAGACTGTCCTATATCTCCCAGATCTGGGAATGAAGGGGTGGAAATGGGATTGACCTCTCTTCTTACTACCCTTAGTGACCTACTAGCAAAACTGTTCCTTCCCATTCCCATAATTTTAAGCTATAATGACAGTGAAATTTAGTTATAACAGTTCTTTACCTAGTACTTAAAATGTTGTCCAAATCATTTCCTTCAAATGCATAAACATGTCCACAACTCTAAATATGCAGCGATTCACTCTTTCCTCTGAATGCTGTTTGGAGTAGTTCACGTTCAAAACTTCTGCTTATTTTTTGGCGTCTATGGCCAAACCAAGCCCATTTCTGTTCTGTAGTCATAACCAGATATCATTGCTCCTTGTGTTTGCTATCAACAATGCTTGAGACTGGTGAAAGCCCAAACCAGGAGCAATCTAGAGATTTGAAACCAAAGCACAAAGCCTGCAGTCTGGGAACTGGTGTCAGCCACCCGTCCACTGTCTGGAGCCCACCCAAGGGGCTCACCCTCCACTTCCTTCCACTCAGTAGCAGCCAGTTCTGCCTTCGTTTCCTGAGAACATCTTCATATCTATCCTAGCACTTGCTCCTCACATTGCTCTGTTTCTTTGGACTAAAATGCCATCCTGTATATCTTCTGACAATCCAAATCCTAACACACAGAGTGCAGCCAAAATCTTTTGCATGAAAACCTTTTCTAAAGACTCTATGTCACAGCAGTCTCATTTCCAAATTCAAAGACTTGACTGCTGTTGTATCATTTAGTTGGTAGTCAATCAGAGACAAATATTCTGAGATCCTGCAATGGCTACCCAGTCCTTGTCTTATAATCAACTTTTAATTTATAGATATCTTGCTTCCCTAAGCTTCAACAGCAACTGTCTTCAGTACTCTCAGGTTGTTTCATCTATTCATCTTTACAGAGTTTGATGGTAAGCATTTTCAGCTACTTAACAAATTTCTGGTAGTGGATCAGACCCATGCTGTATGTTATCAATAACTCATTTGAAGATTCATGGCCAAACAACATGATTAATTTGCAAAACAGAAGTCATCTCATAAGCTTATTTTTTTTTTCCACCTTAAAAAACACAAAACCCATACATCACATCAAACACATACCTGCAGAAACTCGGGGGCAGTCAGGCAGCATGGACTCCACTGATGTGTCTAATGGTTCTGAGCTAGAGACCCAATTACAGCAGTTCTGCAATGTAATAGAGACAATTTCCTGTTGAAGCATGATTTAAGCCAAGACCAACTTTTCAGGTGGTAGAGATTAATTTATCCACTAGAAGTATACTCAATTTATTTTTCACACTCTATAAAAGGTTTTCTTATGCAAACTTTCTGTAATTATTCACGACCAACATAACTGTGAAAGTTTATCTTCTACAATTCAGCAAATCACGTGTGTTGATATTAAGAAGACACGTGACCTTTATAAAAACCATCCTATATATAATAAAAGCCTAATATGCAAATTGTCCCTTCAACTGGGAGTTCGACTGCTTGCTATGATGTGTGCTGACCACCAGGGGGTGACGTGGAACATAGTGGGTGTCTGCAGCACACTGCAACCTCTCACTGGCTACCTGGGGGCGGGGTTGACGGGAACAGAGGTGAGGTGAGAATGCAGGTTGATCTCTAAACTCGCTCTCACTATCCATTCCACCCTTCCCCAGGACACCAGGGCTTACACTCCAGGAAAGCCTCCGTACTCTGGTGCTGGGCACCTGTGAGGATCCCACCCTGCACCGGCATGGGGTCTTCTGAGTGAGCTGGGCTGCAGCCACCGGGATCAGAGGGGCCAGTTGGGTTCACACAGGAGCCGGGTTACAAGGCCAGCTGGGAAATAGCATGCAGCCTGCCCAGCTTCTGTGCGGCACCACTGGGGGGCACAGAGGCCCACAGCATCCAGCCATGCTCATAGCATCTCCATGTAGGGACTTGGGTGCTGTGACTCAGGCATAGGGGGATGTGTAGGGGCCCAGGTCAGCTGGGACTTACCCTTCTACACCAGACGCTTGTGCAGGCCAGGCCTAGGGACTGCACCTGTGCATGAATTTCATGCACCGGGCCTCTGATGATGTAATATATTTCCAAGAGAAGGCTAGGACTATAATTAAAAGAAACTAAAAAGGGTGTCCATTATTAACTTTTAGATGGAAATTAATATTATTTTGAACATGTGAAAAAGTATCTAGATTTTAAAACTATATTCTTTGTATTTGTTATACTAGAAGAAAATAGATTTTATACTTACTCCTCAAAATCTAGCCCTTATACCATCTTTTAATTTTTACTTCATCTGGATCAATGAAGGATGTATTAAAGGATTCAAAAGAAGCACAATCTGGTGAATTGTAGCTGTGTGTCTGAGGACACAAAGCTTTCAATATTGAAGATAATAATAATTTATAATTCAGACAAATGAAATAAAAATAATTTATATTTCTTCCATACATTTTAAATCTGATTTGAAGTCTGGCTTAAAAAAATGTGATTAACCTCATATGTAGCTCTTAAAAAACTTCCCAAACACACACACACACACACACACACACACACAATGAATTTCCAGACAGATTTTATTTTAAAAGAAATCATCCTATCAATCATGTTGGAAAAATCGCTGATTGTTATTCTGGTAAACAACCACGTATTGTGTATTTTTAGATGCTTGCTGCCCTGCTTGTGCACCATGGAATCCGTCCTCACTGTGGAAAGATCCTTGACTGGTAGATCAAGTGTCTTATTGTATTTTCTTAATTCATTCTGTCTGGAAGAAGATGTCAGCTGTGTTGCAGTGAGGAGAGAATTTCAAAGGCCCCAGTCCCCACCAATAAAGGCTGAGGAATGGCTTTTGAATAGATTTGTCAAGGCAACCCTACTGTTCTGGGACCAGGGAGAGCAGGAATAACATAAAGGAAGGGTTGCTGTATGAGATTAGAAAGTGAAGTTCACAAAGCATGGCAGATTTTTGTAAGAAACAGTAGATCAATGAAACTATTGAACTGTGTGGAAAAAAATCCATGAAAACAAACACAACATCTAGTAATGTTCTTAAATGCTTTCTCTCTTTTTTTACATTTAAAATAGATAAAATATTAGTATTTTCATGTATTATAAAAGCTTGAGGATTTAAAGTGGATTTGTATTCTTAACTTGCACTCCTAATATTAATTAGCAGTTGAATGAAAAATTATACAATGCAAAAGAACAGGAATTATAAAAGAAATGGGGTTTTAGAAGATATTTCATACATTTGAAATAAGTAAAATTAATATTACTATTGATAGAATACCACATCAGAGAGTTCTGGATAATGCAGAAGATTAGCAGACAATTAGCCAGCTTTTATATACAATGTGACACTTGCTTGTAAGAAATAAGCATTCTCCAAAGCAGTGTCAAGATATGTAAATGGATGATTTGTTTTATCATTCATCACAGCCCCTAATAAATTCAAAAATCATGGCTTCTATAGGTACTAAAAATAGGCTCCCAATGATACAGGGAGATAGCTTCAATGAAGAATGACTTTCTCTTTCTCTCTCTCTTTCTTAAACAATTCAGTCTTTTCAATGACAGCAATTAGCACTACCGACAGACAGGCAGCGATTAGGCATATATTTTAATTATTATTCATCCTAGTAGTACCTCCAAATCTGATGAAAGTCAGCTATTACCCAGGTGATATGTCACTCTTAATACTGCTCACATACACTTCACATATGTAAAACTATGTCTTATAGGATATTTCTAGTATTAATAAAAGTGATGGTACATTACAATGTTCAGGCAATTAATCATTTTTTAACTCGTTACCACTGACTTTAAAAAGCTGAACAAAATAGATTTTATCCAGGTCACCTTTAACTTAAACATTTAAAGTAAAATGTGAATTAACATTTTATGATTCTAAAATTTCAGTTTTTATCTAGGCATAACTTTGGGCTTTAATTTTTTTAAAAAAGTATATTTTTATTTATTTTAGAAAGAAGGGAGCAGAGAGAGACACATCTATGAGAGAGAGAAACATTGATTGGCTGCCTCTTGTATGTCCCTGATTGGGAATCAAACCTGCAACTTGGACATGTGCCCTGACTGGGAATCAAACCAGGGACCTCTTGAGGCATAGGACAATTTTCAACCAGTGAGCCACATCAGCCAGAGCACATGTTTGGACTTTGATTTATCATAAAAATAGGGTAGAAAATAAACACTTTACAGATAAAAAATATGTAAAAAAATTCTCAGGAATGACAAAGTACCTGAGTAGAATGGTAAAGATTTGATACCACAAATTTATACATGTGAAAGTGTGCACCTGTGAAATCTTTATCCTCCCCCAATCCACCCTGGGAAAAATATATAGAAAAATGGGCAAAACAAGCTAAAAATATACTTTCCATGTCATAGAGTATAATGAAATAAAATAATGTAAGCACACTGGGATACATATGTAAAGAAAGATGAGAAAGACATACAGCTAAATACATTACGTCAAACTATCTGAAATTCTATCTTATCCTACCTACTAATAGAGTAGTATGCAAATTAATCATCACTCTGCTACACCCACAAACCACACCCACCAGCCAATCAGAGAGAGTATACAAATTAACCCAACCAAGATGGCGGTTAATTTGCATATGAGGAGGTTGGGAGGGGTGAAGACTGAAGACAGCATAGAAGGAAGAGGGAGGGTAAGCTGAAGCAAGGCAGCTTTGGCTGCTGGAGGGAAAGCACTGGCAGCACATACGGGGTGGCGAGGCGCATAGCACCCAGTGGCCTCTGAGGCAGCAGGAGGCAGGAGGCAGCGAGGATGGTGGGTGCGGTGGGTCAGGGGAGCCCTGCCTGCCCTGCCCTGCCCCGCCTGCTGCAGCGGGAGAGGTAGGGGGGCAGGAGAGGGGGCGGTGGCAGGAGGGAAGCCCACAAGAAGTCTTGCAGGAATATTCCTGCAACAGGTCACTAGTCAAATATAATTCCCTATTCTGAGATGTGTTCTATAATTTAGAAATCAAATCTCTATCCTGTTTGAATGCTTATTCTATCACTCTTCTCAATGTCCGAGTTTGCCCCTCTCCCCACCCACCCCAGTTCTTCAGTTGAGATGAACGCTAGCAAAGTGCTGGTGACAGAGCTCAGTGGGAAAGCACTATCTAGTCCAGCGAGGTGGTTCAATTGGTTGGAGAGTTGTCCTGTATGCCAAAAGACTCCGGTGTGATTCCCAATTAGGGCACACACCTAGGTGGGGGGTCCAATCCCTGATCAGGGAATGTATGGGAGGCAACTGATTGATGTTTCTCTCTCATATTGATGATTCTCTTTCTCACTTTCTCCACCTATCCTCTCTCTCTTTCTCAACATACTTAAAAAAGGAAAATGGATTCCCTAACTAAACTCAAAACATGCACGAGTGTATGCCCATTCCCTGGAGATCTTATTCTCAGGTGCCCAAGCAGACAACACAGGGCACACTGGACTAGAGGTACCAACAGAGCCATGTCTGAGCCTCATCCCATCCAACAAGCATGGAGAAAGAAGCCCTGGACCAGAGCCAGCATAGGAGGATAGATCATGTAACTCGAGTTTCTCTGAGTCTGAGGGGAAAAGAGAAAAATAGTCACTAGAAGTGAGTGATCTTAAAGTTAAGTGTTTTCAATTTAAAGGTCTTTTACTCTGAAATTATGACCTTATGGGATTTGGAGATGGTAAATTGTCTTCTTTGTGAAATCCAAAAGCTTGGGAACTATTAATAATGATTAGAAGTGCCTTTGGCCACAGTACTGAGTGGCTCTCTTTGACATTTGAACCAAGGGTTTGCAATATTTTAGTGTAGATATGAAATGAATTAAATTTTTTTTATGAAAGTATATTATGTTTAAAGAGGAAATAGATAGTAGGTATTCCTATGCAAGGTATTTGGAAGTATCTGGAGCTTAGGGGTTTATTCACTTTTATTTCATTTGTCTGAGTAGTAAATCACCAATGCCTTAGACACTGATCTTTAATGTGGCAGGTATTGTACATTACAAGAACAAGAACATTATCATACAAGAACAAGAACAATTCGCCAGCTGAGTTTTCAGCACCGGCACACAGAGCTGCGTGGTGATAGGTAAGGGTTCCTGAAGGTTATGGAGACCATACATCTGGCTTGGCTGAAGACTTTCAGAAGCTAGGGGTAAGTCAGCCTTT